CATTTCTCAACAGTTTGATACAAGAGCGAAACGATACATAATTGAAGATATTTAACTTATATATATTCTTAAAACACTTAAAAAAGTAAAGTAAATCATTAATTTCTCTACGATACTGCAAAGGTAATAAATATAATTTACTAAGGCGCTCGTGCTTTGAATAATCCCTACTAAGAATGAATCTCGTAGCCCTGTGTTGGACCTGTTCCAAATTGTTGATGTTTTGTTTGGTATGAGGTGACCATACCATGCTAGCATATCCAAGTTGCAACTGAACCCAAGCAATATAAAGCAATTTCTTTGTACTAATATCAGTAATGTCCCTGCACGTACAGGAAAGGAGATTAAGCATTCTTTGAGCTTTCAAAGAGATGAGATCAACGTGATTATTCCAGCCCAAATCATGGCTAACCAAAACTCCCAGCTGTTTCTCAACAGCAATACAGTCTAACTAAGTTCCACCAAGGTAATAGTCTTTATCAATGATTGATCTTATACGGGCCACCCTTAAAACCTTACACTTCTTGGCTTTAAACTCCATTCTTCAGATAGGAGACCACTGAAATATTTGATTCAAGTCATCCTGCAATTTGTCACCGTCATCCCACCCAAGAATTAAGGGAAAACACTTAGAGTCATCGGCAAAGAGGGGTAACAATGTTTCCTTAGGAATCACATCGGGCGTATCCTTGATAAAAATCAAGAACAGTAAAGGTCCCAAAATTGACCCTTGCGGGACTCTAGATGTTATAGGGAGGAAATCAGACGACTTGTTATCTAACACAACTCTGTGTCTTCTACTAGATAAATATGATCTAAACCAAGCTAACAAAGATCCACCAATACCAAGACATTCTAGCTTAAATAGGAGGTTTTCGTGAGATACTCTATCAAAAGGCTTAGAAAAGTTTAAATAAGTAACATCAGCTTGTTGTCTCCTTTCAAGAGCATTAGCAAATTGATGAACAACTTGGGATAGTTGAGAGACAGTGGATTTACCTGGAAAAAAATCATGTTGCCAGTGGGTAAGATGAGGGTAAACAATGCTAAAGATCTCATCATTAACTTGTCTTTCCAAAATTTTAGACAGAACATCAAGAGGTGAAATTCCATAGTAGTTTGAAACCATCGTCTTAGACTCACATTTATGAATAAGGACAAGATTTGCATCTTTCCATTTCTCAGAGAAGGTTCCAAGCTCTAAGGACAAATTGAATAATCTACATAACAAAGGTTAAATTTCATTAGCACATGCTTGTAATAACTTAGGGGGAAGACCAAGTGAAGCCTTGTGGACATCAAGTGATTGAAGCTGTTTAAGGATGTTGCTAGGGCTAAGGCGTAATTCACGTTTGATGTTATAGTTGATTCTGGGTAGACAGGTAGCAGTGCTTCTAGAGTCAAGTGGGACAAAGACTGAGTGAAAAAACACGTTGAATAAATTGGCTTTATCAATAGGTCTGGTAGCTTGTACTGATTCATGTCTCATTACCCCGAGAATTTTAGTAGGTTTGGTAATTGCTTTGTAATATGACCAACATTTACGGGGATTTTCCCTCAAGGAACAGCCAAGCTCAGAGAGGTAGCTACACTTTTTCGATTTAGCTATTTACTTAACCTGTCGTCTAAGCTCTGGGTATCTTTCCCATAGAATGACAGGAGATTTTAACTTAGCTTTATGTCGAGTCCTACTCTTCTTTCTAACCAACAATAAAACCTCTTTATCAATCCATGGCAGTCTATTGGCATCCTTAATTACCACTTTTGGAACAAATTCATCTACACATTATAAAAACATGTCATACCAGCAGGCAGTACTATCGTCAGTGTCATTGTCCATAAACACAGTGTCCCGAGAGACATTCCTTATAGGTTGCAAAACTTGATTCCCTCAGTAGAGTTGATCAAGTCAATAACATATTCCCAGTTGATACTAGACATATTGAAATCACCAACAATGCAGATTCTACCAGATGTTTCACGCAAATTTGCCAATAAACACTCAAAGTAATCCATAAATAAAGAACATTTCGGCAGTGTATAACACGGGCAAAATGTTATTTTAAAGCTATTCAGGGAAACAAGATCACATACAAGAATCTCAGAGTTTTGTGGTAAAAACCCTGAAACAGAAAATTCTTCCGGAGCAAAGAAGAGAGGAAATTACGACCACTACTTGGCAGAAATTTGTTCCAAAATTGACAAGTATGCAAGTGAAAATGGTAATTCCAAGGCAATCAAACACTTCAAGGCAGAATCCCCAATTTGAAAGGGAGCACAGTCTGGAACTTCAAGCAGGCCTACCAGAAGAAACTAAGAGGAAAATGATACATTTTCAGTCTCTACATAATATCTTCATATTCGATGCTTTACTGTCATTGATTTTTCTCTTGGAAGGCTCTATGAAATCATGTGGTGTTGGTTTTAATGCATGGAATTGTAATAACATTTCAGAATCCTCATTTAGAATGCTACCCATAAGCTATGAAAAATAGTAGTTATAGGATTATATTTCATTAAACAAACCATCTTTTTAATTTTTTAACTCTTGCATTACCTATGAAAAGAGTAAATGCTTCTATGTCGAACACACCTAAACGAAGCCCTTAATCTCCTTCTAAACAAAATTTCTAATAAATATTGCATTTAGTCCACATTAAAAAGTAATTTAGTAAGAGTCTCGTTTTCATGCTGAATGACTTTTTCACGTGACAAAATTTACATGGAAGCTACCTTTATGAAAGGGTTATAAAAAATTTTTATTCACCTCAATGTGTATTATCAAATGGCAGCACTCGTTTTTTGTCCCTCAATCTGGTACCAAAATCTGGTCTGGCCCATGGCCTATTTGTCTTTTTGGCAAATAATGTAGCACTTTTTGTCCATGATGAACAAAAAGCTCAAGATAGCTTAGACCTCATACACAGGAGGTGGCAACTTGTCCAAAGTAGGTACACAATATGTACATAGTCAGAAATGCAGCTTGAAAACTATAATCATCCTACAACTTGAAATGATAGAGGAGAAAGGTGTACTGCTAGTCACAACAATCACCAAGGTTCCAAATATTTCACAGTTTATTCAGTCATCTTGTTTACAGGAAAGTATTCGAAATCTATTAACAGATTAGAATTATAGTTGACAAAGGCCAGGATTAATATACCTCAACACGGAACAATATTTACCTACCCATTGGTGTCTCTCAAATCTGCGACTAGTAGTATTGGCTTCAATGATCTTATCCATTAATTACGTGAGGCATTATAACATAATGTTGCATAAAAACGTCACGCATTAATTTCGTGTTAGAACGAAACACTCCCCCAGGTACAAAAAAATTATAACTGAAGGTAAAATTCAAAATATACTGAGTTCATCTTAAGGAGTTGGTCACGTAAATTAAAGAAAACAATCAGTTTTTTGTGTCAGCTTCCTCTTTCGGTATAAGAACAACCAACTTATTCATGGCTCGTTCGACGGTAACAAAGCCTCTTCATGATACTTGTTGATGGCTTCCCCTGGTTTGGGATTTTTGTACTGTACTTGTACTCTTCTTACTCTTCCATCTTCCCCAGGAAATGTATTGATGACGACACCAAGTTTCCATTGTCCTCTAATTTGGTTAGCATCTAGAATGAGCACTAAGTCACCTTCCCTAAGATTGTGTTGAGTGGTATGCCATTTTAGCCGAATTAGTAAAGTAGGAAAGTAGTCCCTTGTCCATTTCTTCCAGAAGTAGTTCACAACATTCTGGACGAATTCAAACTGCTGACGAGGATTGGAGGGTTCTCTGAAGGGTCCGCTTGCCACTCGTTATGTTGCTCTGTCTAGTAGCAAGTCATTGAGGCAGAGATAAGTTCCATCATCTGGTGACGTATGGTGTCTTCCAATCGGTCATTTCATTCGGTCTTTCATTTACAAGGTTTGCTACCTCGAAGCAAACGGTTTGGAGTTCTGATAAGGTCATTAATTGATCACTTATAGCTGCTGTTATTGCTTGCTTCACTGATTTCACTAGCCCTTCTGACACTCCGTTTTGCCACGGTGCGTTGGCTTGGGCAAAAGCCCTCTTGAATCCTTCCATCACGCCATTTAGCTCCTCTTGATTCCAACCTTGTACCACATTTTGTAGTTCTTCATTTGCAGCAACTAGTTGAGGTCCGTTGTCGGAATATAGTTTTGAAGGATATCCTCGAATAGATGCAAATCTTCTCAGGACCATGAGGAATTTCTTAGTGCTATAATCTGTAGCTAGATCTATGTGCACTGCTCGGGTGCCTAAACAGTTAAATATCACTCCATACGTTTTTCCAGTCATTCTTTCTTCACCTCGTCTCAAATTTTGAATGGTCCAAATAGATCAATGGCAGTACAAGTCCAGGCGGGAGACAGCTTTTGTCTGTCCACTGGTAATTTTCCTATGACGTGGTCACTCAGTCTTTTGTCTAGTTTCTTGCATATCATACAGTTGTATCTGGTAGACTTGAACATTTTTTGTTGCTTGACAATTTTTAGTAGCTTGACAATCCAGAACCTTGTGCGTATTTTACTGGCTGTGGAGAGAACGCCAAGGTGTCCTCTTCTATGGATTGTTCACTATATAGACGTGAAAATTGATGATCATAAGGAAGAAGGAGAACTTTATTTTTGTTGTGACTCATCTCAATCCACCTTTCTCCCCGTCCTCCAACCACGTATATTCCATCTGTATTCTTTTGGGGGCACAGCGTTTGTATCTTCCTTGTTCAATGTCTTTATAGATGCTTTTTTGCGCTTCCATAATCCAGAATTTTTCTGCCTGTGCTATATCAGTTGGAGCTAGTGGCTTTACTGCGTGTTTGAAGGATGATTTCGGTGTTCTTTGGTACATTGCCAAAATCCTGGCCGTCACTGATTAGTTTTCCAAAATCTGAATTTCTGTCGATGTTGATTCTTGACGCCAGTGTGTCTTTGTCGTCTTGATTGAAATGTTTGGTGACAGTGGA